GACTGTGAAATCCTATATTTTTTAGGTATTAATATTTTAGTGAGAGATATTAGTGGTAGTTTGGTGGTAAGATTTTTAGATGAGAACCTAACTTATTTTTTCTATTTGTTTTTATCTCTTTTTACCTCCATTTCATTATTATCATTACTCATCTCTTTTATTTATTTATTTTTAGTTTTCTTGGGCTCCAAGTAAAGGTTTTTTTCTTTTCCTCTAAGCAAATGTTCTTTTCTTTCCCTCCAAGCAACCTTTTTTTGGCCTACAAGTCAATTATCTTTCTTTCTCTCCAAATTTACTTGGAGGCTGCTCTTTGTTTTGCCTATAAATTGGAACTCATCCTCTCAACTTCTTTCCATTCTTCTTCTTGGTCTATCTATATCTCTCTCTCATATTGTTCTCTCTTAAATTATAGAAATTTAGAGTTTAGATTAAAAGTATTTAGAGTGAGAGTTAGCATTTTATTCAAGAGAAGAATTGTAGATTTTGTTGAACCATACATACTTTTTGAATCCACAACCTTGGAGATTTATGGTGATATAGTAGATGATTTAAAAGCATTGGTGTTGGAGGGATTTTGCATCAAGTGGTCATGGAATTTTTTTGAGGTAATTCGGGTAGTATACAATATGCTTCCTCTAAATCTCTTTGCAAAGAGTGTTTATTTTAATTACTTCTCATTTGTACTCCTCTTGATTATCTTGGTCATATGTTAAATTCTATGAAATCATTCTTGTTGATACGTTTGAGTATTCTAGTCATTTGATAAATTTTGTGAAGTTGTTCTGTGTAGTTAATGTTGATTTGTCTCGCTAAATGACGTGGAAATGCTCTGTACATGGATCGAGTGGACCTTGCCAATAGCTTGGACCAATAGCCTAGATAAGCGGTTGAGCTTGGGCGAGGTGGATGAGGCCGCTCACTGATCATGTACCGAGTAGGACCAGGTATTTGGTCCTGGATAAATTATCATATGTCGAGTTGATTTGTTTGTGCAATTTGGTAAATTGCTTGGTGTCTTGAATCGAATCGTTTGTGCCATGTCGTAAATTGTTGGATCCCTATCGATTTATTCTCTATTCGAGCATTGTTATTCTTGTCGTATTGTATACTTCCTGAATTAATTTATTTTTCAGTAGTGGTGCAAATCTAGTGGCGATGGGAGTTGAAGTAGTTAAAGAATTATTGAGTCAGAGATTTTTGGACCCACCACTATATATTATTTTTTGAGATTTGTATAAATTATAAATTATAGGCATTTGTGTAATTATTATGGAGCCAATTTGTATTTCCGAGATTATTAATTAGTTAGAATTTTAAATTTGAGGTTGATTTGATTTATTAACGGCCCCGAACAAGGCCAACCAGGCAAGCCAAGTTTTTTGCCGGCAACCAAGAAATTAGCCAGCTGACTAATTTGCCTATAAGTAGGGTAGTTTTGGCAAACTTCTTGGTCAATGCACATGTGGGACATGCCATTTTCAGATATTTGTGATACATTTAGCCATGTTAGAATAGAGTAATCCCAAAAGAGAAAGGTTACAGAGTAATGGTAGAGAGAGTTTGTAGCTTTATGTTTTGTCTTTCTCATAGGCCTCATTTAAGAAGAAAAATGAAAGACAAGAAGAAACCAAAGAAGTGGGATTGCTGAGTCAATCGTTGAAAAATCAAGGTTGGTCTGGCTCTGTCAATCAGGTGCCACAATTGTTGAAATCGCACGTCAGACACGGTGCTCAAAGAAGACGAACGAGGGAGAGAGAGACAAAAATAGAGAAGGAGAGAGATATGTATATAATATGTATATAGTTTGTATATATATATGTGTGTGTCCATATATGTATATAGCTTGTCTGTGTCCGTATATATATATATATATATATATATATGTATATGTATATGTATATGTATGTATCCGTGTATGTATATAGTTTGTCTATTTGCATATATATATATATATTTATGTAATACATATTTTGTATATCATTTGTATTCGTATATGTACATATGGTATGTATATAAATACAAAAATCAAAAACAAAAACAAAAAAAAATGAAAAACAAAAAAACAAAAATCACAAAAAAAAGAGAAAATTTTGAAAAAACAAAAAATCAATTTGTGTGTTCATCTGTTGTGCATCCATCGTATTTGTTATGCATTTATCACATTGCATATTGTATGTCTGACATCGCACCTTTGAGTTTTTGCATTCACTGTCACACTTGCACTATCTATTACATCTATCATGCACGGTTACAACTGTCGCGCTAATCTATTCACATCACTTGGCTACAATTGCCCTGATGTTTGGTTACAACATTTCTCTTTTACCCGGTTGAAACCCATTCCCTATTTCATATTGAGGTACGGTCTAGGTTTCGCTTGTTGGTTAAGACCTTTTACTCCTTTACTCGGTTAAAACCCATTTCCTATTTCATATTGAGGTGTAGTCTAGGTCTTGCTTGTTGGTTAAGACCCTTTACTCTTTTTCTCAGTTAAAATCAATCACCTATGTCGTATTGAGATACGGTATAGGTCTCGCATGTTGGTTAAGGCCCTTTACTCTTTTTCTCGGTTGAAATCAATCACCTATGTCGTATTGAGATGCAGTCTAGGTCTCGTTTGTTGGTTAAGACCCTTTTGTCATTTACCCAGTTAAAATCTATCCCCTTTGTCGTATTTATTGGTTAATACCCTTTACTCATTTTCTTGGTTGAAATCAATCCCCTACTTCATATTGAGGTACGATTTAGGTTTCCCTTATTGATTAAAACCCTCTTTTCTCCTCTCATGTGAGTGTGTTTGGATTGTACCCTTTGTTATGCTTTATATCATTTGCATGAGATTTGTCTCGCATAGTACCTGTTGCGTTGCATTGCATAAATCATGAACTTTCAAAAATAAAAAAAAGGCTTTGCGAAGCATATAAGTCCAATTTTTAATTGTAGTTTGAGCATATCATTTACATCTTGCCCTTGAACTATGTTGATTTGATTCCTTGCAAAGGGATACGTAGGTAACCTTCGGGTTCAACAACTGCATTTCATCTTGTTTGTTTGCCTAAGTTTTACGACATTGTCAAAAGGGTTGTCTTCTGGCTTTGACATTCACTCATGTCAAGAAATGACTTCAAGTTCTACTAAAGAGAGACAACTGTAGGCACCCTATTTTCACCGGCCCTAAGACTTGGGCACTCTTTTTTTTTAATTATCCGATGATGAAAATAAGAATGTGTTTCTCACAACATCCTCAATAAAATAGATGGAATTTATGTTTCATTTCCAACCCTAAGCTTGTTTTGGCCAAGTGTTCAAGTCCTGTTCAAAATTTTCCTTCAAAACTTTCTTTCCATGCTTTGTTCCATGTATATCCGTAGTGTTCCGAGGCTCCTTTTTAAACTTCAAAATAAAACATTTTCTCAGGAAATTGAGCAAAGAACAATGTGGAAATAGGTGGAAAGGATGATAATTCTGTCGAAGAATCCTATTTCGTGTGAAATAGTTAAGCCAAGGCCAACCAGGCAAGCCAAGTTTTTTGCCGGCAACCAAGAAATTAGCCAGCTGACTAATTTGCCTATAAGTAGGGTAGTTTTGGCAAACTTCTTGGTCAATGCACATGTGGGACATGCCATTTTCAGATATTTGTGATACATTTATGCACGAGATGCATACCTACTCACCCTTCATTGTCCCCCATTGGCCTCCATTGTCAAAAGGGTGTTTGTCCTCTTCCACAGAAGGAGCATCCAATACAATCATCCTTGTTACCCCATCATCCTTGTCTCCCACCACCTCTTTGACTTAGCCTACCATCATTGCATATAGAATGATTAGAATGTATGTAGAGAGGATGAGGAATCAATTAAGAGAGAGAGAGAAGAAATCAATTAAGAGAAGAAAGATAAAGAGAGATAGAGAAAAGAGAGAAGTCTTGAGAGTTGGCCAAAAACTCCCATGTTCTATATACACACCTATACACTGATATATCATCCTTGATATACCAAAAACGACCCCAAGAATTCCATTGTAACCAAATTCTAGTAGCTTTGATCAAAAGAGAGTGAATGTTGTTGAAAGAGGGAAAAACAGAGAGTTAAACAATACCCCCCACACATTGTTAATGTGACGACCCCGCCACGTATAATATTTTTCATATAATTAATTAAGGAGATTTGGATTTCAATTAGTTATTATTCTGATTTAATTTGGGATTTATGAGAATTATGGAGTTTGATTCGTATATGATTCTATTAAGGATTTATTTTGAAATTAGAAATTGAAAGCCTAAATGGCCTAAGAAGGTGAAATTGATGAGTTGAATTAGTTTAATTTCAAGTATTAGACCATAAGAGAGTTCAATTAAATATTCGATTCAGCTTAGTAAAAGTGAGAATTGATTAATTGGGTCCAAATTGGAGTTAATTAAGTTAATTAAATTATGAGGATAGGAAATTATGATTATTATGAATTAAATTTACTTATGAGGTGTCCAAAATGTAATTTATTGACGGAGATTTTGACTTTGATATGAAATTGAAGGCCTTAGTTATTTGAGAAACCAAAATTGATGATGGTAATAAGTTTAATTTGATATTTGGAGCCTTTTGGAAGTTTGATTAAAAATCTGATTCAGATTGATAAAAATTAAACATAATTAATTAGGCCTTAATTGAAGTCAATTAGACTAATTAAATTATGTGAGATTTGTGATTAGTTATGATTAATTACATTATGTGCTAATCAAGATTTATTAAGACTAAGTGTTGCCTAATTAAGTTAATTTTAATCATAAATGGAATTGCAAAATGGTCTAGAATTTGAGGGTGTATGTGGGTGTGGGTGCACTGAGAAATTGTGTGTGGGTGTGTGAGTGATATGCTGGAGCTCATAGGAGTTGTGCACGTGTGTGATGTGGTGTCATGAAGTGTGTGTGTGTATTTGTGCATTATGTTGAGGGTGTATATCACTTGGTGAGAGACTTTTCAAAGTCAAGAAGAAGGGGTTCATCTTGCTATGTGTGTGTTGGAGAATTCAATTATAGAGAGAGAAAAATGGGTGTATCATTGTGCTGGAGCCGTGAGCTCATTTGTCTCATGTTGAGAATCAGTTGTAGAGAGAGAGAGAGAGAAAGAGAGAGAGAAAAAGAGTTATAGAGAGAGAAGTAAAGAACTTAAATGTTGTGCTGGAATTGATGAAGTTAAGAGGGAAATCATCTTCATATATCTGAAATTGATGCCTTAGGTAAGGAATTCATGGTCTTATTTTGTAGAGAATCACTCGTACTTCATGAATTAAGGAAATTATTGAGTTAATTCCATGGAATTTGGAAATAAATGGGTTTTGAAAAAGAAAGTGTGTTGCATGTATGATCATGAAAGATTTTATCTTTTTGGCTTGAATATTTCAAATTCTTGCATACATGAAAGTATTTTTTTAATTGAGGATTTATATCTTGCATGATTTCAGAAACTTCATCAGATTATGTTTTCAAGTTTATGTTTTGTTCTTCAAAAGAAAAAGAAGTTGGAAAATCTTTGCATGTATGAGATTTAATTCGAGTTTTGCTTAAATTGTTGAGTTTTAAGTAAATGATTTCCTAAAGGGTCATGTATTGGTATTTTCCAAGTGTTTTCATGTTTTTAAGGAAGCCATGCATGATTCCCAAGTCTTGGAACAAAGTTTGGAAGCTCAAATCTTTAATTTCAAACCTAGAATTTTTACAGACTGCTTGAGCGACCAAAATGTGGCACGAGCGAATATAATGAACTTTCAAAACTTTTGCAGTCTTTACAGACCGCTCGAGCAAACTTTGACCCATCCAATATTTTTGCAGACAATATAGTCCGCTCGAGCAACCAAGTGGTTTTGAAAAATCATACCTTATTCATACCTTATTCATACCATATTGAAAAATCAATATTTTTGCTCGAGCAAATAGGCTATTTTCAGCACGTTTTGAAAAATCATACCTTATTCATATTTTGATCCTATCTCTTTCCAAGCATTTTTGGGCATGAAATATGATTCATTGAGGACTAATAAGCTAAGAACCACCATAAGTAATCAGTTAAGAAGTAAACTAAGGAATCGGTCTATTAGATTAAGAAAGAATTAGTGACGTAGGAATCTGGTTTACTTAGAAAGAAAATAATAAAAGAAGTTATATGTGATCAAGAGAGTAATAATTGTGTTTCGATATGTTTGTTTATGTGCTTTGTGTAGATTGGACATCCGGGGTGTTATATTCGAGTCAAAACCATTGCGAGTAATATCTCTGTAAAGATATATTCGAAATATGTTTTGAAAATCATTATACGAATCATGTTTATGAAATTTTATTTTTATATGAATGAATAAATGTCCCTTTTGAAGTGTATTCTTGGCATCCATTAACAAGGGCCTCGCCCGGAGGAAACAATATAGTGGTCCTTTGCTAATAAGGCTCTTGCTCGAGGGGAAACAATACCTCGAGGGGAAACAATACCGTGAGAGAGTTGTGAGGTTCTTTTTTCTTTTTCTTTTTTTTTCTTTTATTTATATTTTATTGTAATATTTTTATCCCTTTTCCTCCCTTATTCAGATATGTAATATTCAAGTGTTGTAATAATTTTCTTCCCTGCTTCTTTTTATCCCATTCTTTTATTGGCTTTCCTTATCTGTACATATGCGGTATATTTTGCTTGTCATCATATCTATGCTTTGCATCCATGTTTTATGCCTTAAGAGTCAGCTAAATTTGCATATGTGGATTTAATCGATTATTATGTGATTTTATGTGCTACCTCATGTTTTGAGATAATTCACATGTAATATATTAGAAGCCAGATCTTTAAATGCATTTTATGAGTGAACTGCATTAGAATTTTGTATATAGGATCATGCATGTATTTACTAACTTTGCTTTGTAACTATTTATGGGACGTTAGTAAATATGTAAGTTATTGTACTTTAGCATCCCGCTTGTGTGTGTTTTCTTTACTATGTTTAGCATTCTACCATGATACTATTTGCTTATTTGATATAACTGTATGCATGCCAGTGGGTGGAGGTTGTGTTGTTCAATTTGGAATAAAATTGATTTTCATGTTAGTAAAATTCAATTTTCTATGTTTTATACACTCTTCAAAACATTTTCAAAATAATGAAATTAAGTTGTTCCAAAATGAATGATATAGTTTACATTTGTTTACTTCACACAGAAAATTTTAGGATTTATTAAATAAATCAGAACATGAACATATAAAGTTAATAAAACTCATATCATGGCTTAGTATAGACAGGTCTTTTGATTGGGTGAGCAAGGGTGTTAAGTTAATGATCTTCCCCCCCTCATATCTAAGGTTTCGAGCCAAGCATCTTTGGTTACAACGAACAGTGGCCTTGGCATGAGTCACAGGTTTCCTAATTTTCTCAAAATATTAGGTGGCGACTTTGAGACGAAGTCCATTTATGGCAAAGGTTTTTGCAGCAAAATAGATTTTCTATAAAGTTGTCAAATCTAGACTCTTATCTATATTTCACATTGAACTCGAGAGATTAGATTAAAGAAATCGATGGTCCGAACTATTTAACGCGCTCGGGTACCCACCGGGCAGTGTTACACTAGTGTTTTTCAGAATTAATTTATTTAAAAATTTCTTTGGATATTCTCACATGTTTATATATATATATATATTTTATAATTTTGAAAATTACATAAAAAATTAAGAAAATTTTGAAAAATTATTTTTTTGTTTTGTTAATTATCTTACATAATTTGTTAATTCCTTTTGGTTGTTTTGGCATTTATTTTTGTGCTATTAAATTATGAAATTAATTTGTTAATTGTTGAATATATATATATATATAATAGTTGAGAACTAATATATGTATTTTGAGTCCTAAATTTTCATGACTATACTCTTTTCCTTAGTAAGTATTGTAATTTGACCTCCATCATTTGGCAATTTATTTATTGTTGATGTATGTTTTGATGGATGAAGGTAATGTTGGTAATTTTTGTGCACATGTTTGTTTATTTATTTTTGTATTGTTAGAGGTAGACCCCACAAATGTATTGGTGAAGTGGCATCCCCATATTCTTTATTTATTTATTTATTTCACAAATGTATTGGTGAAGTGGCATCCCCATATTCTTTATTTATTTATTTATTTATTATTAGAATCAATGTATTAGGATTCTTTTGGGTTATAATTATTTATTTATTTTTGGATGTATTTTTTTTATTATATCCATGTAATGGGATGTGTTTCACTGTCACCAATATATTTCAAAGTTGCCTTAACATGTTACACCATATTACCAGTAGGACTTCATGGTTGCCCACGTGCAAAATTGTGTGGCTCATTTTTTTTGGACTTATATATATTATGCATAATTCGATGTTGTGGAATTAAGAGATGCTTTTTCTTCTTAAATAATTTTATTCAAAATTAATTGGGTGCCATATTTTTGCTCACATAGGGGGAGATGATTATGAGCTTAGCGAAATTTTTGATCTCCTTATGTAAGTGAAAATATTGTATGCCAATTGTGTTTTTGGAATAACTTTTTTTTTAAAAAAAGGTGTGCTAATGTCAAACCTTGTGCAATCAATGTAGCGAAATGGCCCCTAAGAATGTTGTTACTGACCTAACCAAAAATGAAATTCAATATTCGCTTAATGAATAAGAAGTCAGAGAAAAATTGACCACCCCCAAGATCCGATCTGAAGAAAGCCCAACACAATCGTGACATGGAGACCCATTAGAATTGGGTCAAGGGAGATCGATGTGAGCGCTATAATATGCTTAGTAGCATGCACAATGATCTCACGATTGAGACAAATCTCATTGCTCATGACATGTGGAATCAACTGAATATTACCTATGGGACCACATCTGCAACTGAGCTGCATGCTCGTATTTTGAAATTTGAGTAATTTGAGCTTAAAGCGGAGTGCCTAAGGTCACACCGCAACACTGTCCTTGTTGCGCAAGCAGGGCAATGTTAGGCATCAGGCCTAAGCGCAACAGACAAGGAAAACGTGGTGGTACAGCTGGTAACCTTGGTCCTTAGAGAGGTAATATGGGAAAGCGCTGTCAAGGCAAGCATGCTAGAAATAAAAACAAGACCAAAGTCAAGTGCTATAACTGTGAGAAGCAAGGTCACTTTGCTCAGGAATGTGTTGACACAAAGAAGGTAGACCTTTCATTTAATTCTTTAAACACTTGTGCTTGTTTACATGTATGTGTTGCTAATTCTCTCCATGATTGGATTGTAGAACTCATAAGCAACCCACTATATAGTCAAAGAAATAGTTAAGTTTGTGGATTACAGAAAGATACCTGTGCGCAAGCAGTACATTACTTTGGGTAATGGAACTCAAGAGGATGTCCTTCGAGTTAGTTCTTATCAGCTCAAGATGCGTCCGGGGCATAGTTTACTCCTTCATGATGTGCTTTGTGCACTTAGTGTCTAACGTAATTTTTTTTATCAGTTATTGCTTTGCTAGGATTTGGTTTTAGTAACAGTTAGTTGGATTCCTATTTGAATAAGGGCTTGTATGGAAAAGGTTTTCTTTTCAATGGTTTATTTATGCTAGATTTGAATTTTTCCTCATATTCTTATGTGTCTTATGATAATGATACATTATATCTTTTAATTGGCATGCTAGACTTGGTCACATTGGAAAAGATAGAATGACTAGAGTAGCTAAAGAAGGCTTGTTGGGGCATCTTTCTAATGTAAGTCTTCATGTGTGTGTGCCTTGTTTGGCAAGAAGGCCGGTAGGAAGCCTTTTGGAAAGGCACCTAGAGCTTTATATCCTTTAGAGTAAGTTCACTCTAACATTTGCGGACCTATAAATGTAAAGGCACGCCATAACGCTTCTTATTTAGTTACATTTTGTTGATGACTATTTGCGATTCAATTATGTCTATTTGTTCTCACATCGCTTTGAGGCATTGGATTGCTTTAAGCGCTTTATGATACTGGTTAAGAATCAGATAGATAGGAAATTGGCCATCGTTCGAACAGATCGAGGGTATGAGTATCTAACACACCAGTTTCAGGGATTGTGTGAGGAAAAGGGGATACACAGGTAATTAACAATTCCAAGCACTTTGCAACAAAATGATGTAACAGAGAGATAGAATCGTACTTTACTTGAAATGATTAGAACGATGGTGGTGCAAATCAATCTCTATATATCTTTTTATGGGGATACTCTTATGACTGTTGCCTATATCCTTAACCGTTTTCCTTCAAAGTCAGTTCCAATGACTCCATATGAATCATGGAAAGCAAACCTGATTTGGAGCATTTACGGCCTTGGAGTTGTGCAAGTTTTGTTCACAATACTTCCCATAAGCATAGGAAATTAAGCCCTAGAGCAAACAAACAAGTGTTTATTAGATACTTAGAATGCTCAAAGGGTTTGTAAAGTATAGTGAACATCCTGATAGTGAAATGACTAAAAGTAAGTCGCAAGATGTGAATTTCATTGAGAATGAATTTTATAGTATTGGTAAAGTAAGGAAAGATCTTGTGCTATTTGAGTTACATGAATCTAAAGAAGTCACATCATCTTTTGGTGAGGGTGGAGAATTAGAGACTCAACCTGAAATCGCCAAAGATAATAGAGTGATTTACCTTCTAGTAGGAGTGTTTCACTAGAAAATGACTCAATAAGGATCCCAATTACGTAGAGATGATCGTGGAATCATTCCTTATCGTCTTATGAGATTGAGGAGAAATCTTTCATGTATCCTCCTATGGATCTTGATGAGCCTGCTTCCTATGAGAAAGCATTAGTTTCACCGAATGCTACTGAGTGAATGGCTGTTATGAATGATGAAATGAGTTCTATGGCTCGAAACCGAGTTTGGGAGTTGGTTGACTTTACACCTGTGTGCAAGACTATTAGCAATAAGTGGGTCTTAAAAGTTAAGCACAAGGCTGATGGGTCAAAATTTTGTAGGGCTATACCCAAATAGAGTGTATAAATATTCTCCTCAGTGGTGAGATTGACCCTCATTTGCCTAAATTCTAACTATTGTCGCATATTTGGATTTGGAACCTTTTCCAAATGGATGTTATGATTGTGTTTCTTAATGGAGATCTGGACGAGGAGATCTATAGGGATCAACTAGAAGGCCTCTAGGTTAATAGACAAAAGCGCAAAGCATGCCAGCTCAAACGTTCCATTTATGGCCTAAAGCAATTGTCTAGATAATGGTATTTTAGCTTTCATGAAAATCATCTTTGTTGAGTGGGCTTTAGATGATGGAGGAAGACCATTGTATCATTGTATGTTGACGACATGTTGTTAGCTGGAAATGATATGGAAATGATTCTTGCCACTCAGAAATGGTTGTCCTCTACTTTTGAAATAAAGGATATGAGAGAGGCAAATTATGTACTCGGAGTTAAGATCTTGAGAGATTGCTCTAAGAGACTTCTCTGTTTGTCTCAAGAGACTTACATTGAGAGGATCTTAGAATGGTCTCAGATGCACTATTCCAAACCCATTGACAATCCGATTGAGAAAGGACGTAATTTGAGCATTGACTCTTGCCCTAATAACAGATGAAGAAAAAAAAACAAATGGCAATGGTTCCCTTTGT